GGGTAAGTTCCATCTAGCCCGAGCGTCGGGCGGATTCTGGGTGCGTGATTTGAGGTAGTCTATTCGGGACAACGCTATAGAAAATCGCTTTGCAGTTTCAACTTTCCAGAAACTCGTCGATACGTTACAGTTCTGCGTATATACGCGAGGAGGCGTATGATTGAGCCTCGCGAAGGTTATTTTCAACTTTTGAATTTTAGTTTGGAGTGGCGAGTCTGTCCCCGATAGCTGCGAAGTGTAACGCCAGGCCGCGCGTGTACCGATCGTTACATTCTTGAATAGTGTAAACGTGAATGTTCTGACAGGGCGAGTGATTGTTTCCACGGTGATGGCAATAAATTCTTGATCGTCGCCGGCCGCGTTAGATATGCCGCCGTGTTAAATATATTTATAAGAACTCGTGTGATAAGCCACGCGAAGCATGCTGGTGCAATACGTTCTCTAATCTACAGGGAAACCTACCATTTTCTGTAGCGGAATGCAATTTTAGAAAAAATAAACAAAATACAAAAATTTAAACAGGCCTGCGCGATAATACAAGTGACCGAGGACCATGGTGTGTAACGCTTACCCGATTCTTACTATACTCCGCGTCAAAAGTTGCGTGCAGTGCAGTCGAAGGCAGCGCGAGGCGAAGACAGAGAGGGCGAGCAGTGCGAAGGCGGAATGAGAGAGGAGGGCAATGGAAGGCGAGGGGAGATAAGAGAGTACTAAGAACGTTAGAGAGGAGAGGAATTTTCTCTCCTCGTCCCCAGCCTTCCTAGTGCTTGCCCTTTCTCCCCTCGCCTGGCGTTCCCTTCGCGTGTACTGCACGCAACTAGTGACACGGAGTGTAGTGATACGGCTTGCTGCGTAGAGTGTGCCCTAATATACGAAGTTTTAGCACATTGTGTCTTTGCAGACGACATCTAGTGATCGCGCTGCTCCTCCAAAGCGTGTATTAAAGCTCGTGCCCTGAACGGTTTCGCGATCGCGAAAACGATTACCGATAACTTCCTATTGTTACTGAATAAATACATTAACCTGAACCACCTGCCATCTCTCCATGCAGGATTGGAGACAACAGAACTCATGTGCTTGACACTTAAAAATCGAGCATCATTTCCCGTAGCACTTTTTTTATATTTAAATTAAGCTCTTGCATTTCAAACCAAAACCCAAAACGTTTTCTTTTTTTTTTTTTTTTTTTTAGTAAGAACAGTTTGATTGAAAATTAAACTGTCGATTTCTGTCTCGGAGAACATTGAAAGGGTGCGGTTACCTTGGAGTGTAATGTATAGCATAAGTCTAAGCATTGAGTCTGGCTACATTCCAAGTATAGATAAGTGCACAAAGCTGCAGTTAGATGACACCCGTTTAACTTGCATCCAGAGGTGTCAATCGATCGAGCAGTTGGAAGCGTTGGCCGGAAATGTGTAACTCCCGCTTCCGCATAGACTCGGTCGGGCCTGTTGGCTCTGCTCGGATCCCGACCATAAATAACCTCACTTATCGGCTCTCTTTGCTTCCACTTTAGTCGAAACCGATTAGTTATCCTTTGACAGCAAAAATAACATACGAAATATCACACAACGTAACATGCGCGGGCTATTTCAACCCGATGGTTCCTTCGAAAACAAACTAACAGAAGCAAAAGAAAAAAGAAACCTGTTCTTGTGTTTCTGCGTGACTTCGTAGAAGTACGCTTTCGAAGAACTGTTTCTGAAGCAAACCGAAGTGGCAAGAATCCGCGAGGTTATTCTTTCCAGCGAGCAAAATGACCATGTGCCCGAATTGAAAAACGAGCGCGCGGTTGCCGACTACACCGTCTCTCTCCCTCTCTCCTTCTCCAGACGACGAAACGTTTTTTTTTTTTTATTCTTTTTAACAATTATTAAATTGTCACTATTTCTATTTCTTCTCATATTTCCAAACCGCTACCGGAATACGTGCGCGGTTCTTCTGTTTCGCTTGTTCCAACTTGTTCCAACGCAATTGACATACGCTTCCACTACGTGTCTACGCGATTGCATGCTGCGGCCCTGCACAGCCCTCCACCGTTCAAACGATGCTGCGTTCTTCTCCGCGCACCGTAATCATCGCTAATGAAAAGGGCGTCTTGGACTGGGCGTGTCTCGAAGAACTGCGAAAGACATATTTCTTCGGCCAAGCGCTGCTGCTGCGGCGGCGGCGGCGGCGGCGGTGTTAGCCCCCTATTTTCCGTTCGACCGCATACGATGGATCGCTGCTGACGCTACGAACAACATCCCATCGAATCCTGCACCGCAAATGCGTCACGTGACTAAGCGGCCCGCGCATCGTTGCGCCTCCTTCCCGAAAGCCACGTGACACTCTTGCCTCCTTTGTATTGGCTCTAATAGCGCGTAGCGTTTTTTGCGGTCCATGGTTAAGGTTAACGGAGTATAGAGTCCTGGCGAAGAACCGCAAAAACAGAGTTCATATATATATATACACGCGCGGCAGATGGGAGCTTCTAGTCCCTCTCCCAAAACTAAAATTACGCCGCGAATTATTTTCGTTTTTTGGGTCGCTTTTATGCATCCTTCGTCCGCCTTATGTCAGTTTTCTTGCAATTTTTTTTTTTTTTTTTAAATTTTAGTTTGCTATAGGTGTAACAAATGACAATACGAATTTGAGCGGGGATGCGTGTAAACAGCGTATGCTCGAAAAGTTTGTTCAGCGTATGCTCGAAAAGTTTGTTCGCCGATTTTGCGTCGTTTGGAAGTCTTAAATTTGACGCGCACTTTCTTCCTTCTATCTTTCGTTACTCTTTTTTTTTTTTTTTTTTTTTAATCTGCGAAAACATTTTTTTTTGACGTGACTGAATCTGATTTGGCGCCCTTTGCTTCGTTTCTTAGCTCTCGCGATACTAGTTGAGAAGACGAGCGAATTCATTCCCGCTGCGCCTTTTAGGGGAGGCACGTTTGGAAGAGGTGCAACGTGAGATGACTAAACAGTCTGCGCGCGCAGCGCCGGTCCCGTGTTGTTTTTGGGGTCGGGCGTTCTTCGACGTCTTCTCGCTGCTCGAAGCTCGCGCCTTCGCCAAAAGCAGCGAAAGTTTCCCGGTTTTGCGTAACGAGTTGAACTCGCGCTTCGTTGTCAGTGCACAGTTCTTTCTTCTTTCTCGTATCTTAAAATAAAAAGAAATAAAGAAAGAAGGCTGCGTAAATAGATTTAAAGCAGGGAGTATAGTTTTCTTTTAGTTGTTTTTCTTAGCGGATGCTAAAGTCCTACGGGATAGGGAAAAAACGATTCTTTTGCCTAGTGTTCATTTTTTCTGCTCACGAGCGCCATTGAGTTCATTTCACGACTCTTTATCTTGTTGGAATGTAAGATAGGTACGACATATTTTTTTTTCAGTTTTATGAGTTTTGTTATAGGCTTAGCAGGTTCATAGTCATCAGTAACGTTCGTTAGTCGCAAGTATGTTTATCGTGTTCATCATTTGCGCAGCGAGCGCTTATGAGAGGCCTATATGACTTATTTCGATTTGCGACTAATCAGGCTTTATGAAGTTTGTCGCGGGTATCCCTTAAGTATATGTCCCAACCGTTTTCTCTTCGGTGGCTTCATGAAACATCTGAAGGATAAAAATGAAGAAGCTAAGTTTGTTGTATCGTCGTACCGGAAAACATTTCCTTAGTTCTTTTTATATGTATCGACAGTACGTATAGTGCAACACAGTTAACACGAACAATCGATCGCCGGTTTCCATCGTCTTTTTCAAGGACATGAAGGATTGTCGTCAAAACGTTTTAGTACGGTCAAATCGAAGGCACCACTTGAGGAGGCAGAGTTTGTAAATCGGTCCTGCACTGTGTCAATAGAACGGAATTATATATCATCGTTGTGTTGGCACTCACTTCATTGCGCTGCGTACACGTATTACGTGATCTTATCATGCGTAATATATACCCTAGTAATTACGTTAACCGGTGTTTCAAATTTTGAAACCATTTTTCCCTTATCTAAAGTGAAAATGTGGGCTAGTTGCGTTATAATCACCCAAATGAGCGCAAAAACAAAAAAACAAACAAAAAAAAACAAAAAAGAAAAACATTGGGACAAGAAAGTAGGTAAGCGCCTTTGTTTGTCTACTTTCTTGTAGCTGCGTTTTTTTTTTTTTTTTTTGCGCTTATTTACGAGTTTTTTTTTTTTTTTTTTATCTAAACGTGGCACCTAAAGCTCCATTCAGGAAGGAATAGCGTTCAGATGTGTTGCGCAAGCTCATTTTAGGAAGTTTCGACGAAATCAGAAGGCTTATAATATCCGCAACTTTAACGACCTATTTGGGAGGGGGAGGGGGGGTTGAATGGGAGGCTGGCGTCATTTAACATTGCTGCCATCTGCTTTAGCGACGCCAAACTATAGCATATGAAGTTAGATCTGTGACGCGTAACTTTAGTTTTGTTAAATGCGATCGTTCTGAGAGCCTTACATTGTCTTTTTATGTTGGGGAAGGCTCGAGCTAGCTGCACCTTTCTTGCGAAATATATATCATCTACGAACTACAAAATGCGATCGTCACACTGCATAACCGCCGTCGCTTAAAAAAAAAAAAACAATTAAGCAGCGGGGGCGGTCGCCGTTTTTCGGGCACGAAAGTGTACGTGATTGGATCCGAGCGCACATCGAACGCTGACCAAGCGCCGAAGCTATTCTCGTGTCCAACACCTGCTCCAAGGGCGTGAGCCGAAAGAATGGCGAGCTCCAATAATTGGAGAAGTTACTAGGTGTAGCGTGCACTTTTGAGAAAAGGTCCCATTCAGGCGCACGGTAACACTGCTAATGCATCATGCAAAAGGCAGTCCGCAGACGCGACCGAAGCATACGTATGCATGCTTCAAACATGCTTCAAACACATGGTTGAGGCGCAGAGACTTCTCTCATGATGTCGGCAGGGAGCACTGTGTCTTTTGTGTATATGACCAATATGTGACTGCGCCTCTGGATACGCCTCGCGTGCGTCAGCGGAGACAGCGAGCAAGGCGTCGCGAAAGTGACAACGAGGCCAGGGGGGGTAGACTGAACCCCCCCGCCTCCGAGACCCGGGGGGAAAAAACCGCAGGCTCAGCAGATAGTCGGACAGCGCTGAGCGTCAGCCGTGCACCACGCCGGCGTCTGCCAGCACAGCCGGCGGCTTGATCAATGTTTCTTCGATTGCTCGTCGTTCTTCACTAACGCCTTCCCGCCTTTGTTCCCGCGTTGTCTGTCGCGGAAAGCGCGAAGGAGAGAGCCGTATGTACAGCCCCGGCTGGCGCGCGACCCGGTCTTTGCTGCTGCAGCTTGATCGACTAATGGGTCTTCGCCGGCAACGTTCCTTCGCTCGAGTCCCTGTCTGTGTTTCTCCCGGGAAGAAAACGCGCCGTTTCGAGCTATAACACGATGTTTTCTGTACGCTGTGCCTTGTCTTGCCTTTTTTTGTCTCACGGCGGAAATGACGCCAAAAAGTTCAAACAAAAACATGTTTTTTTTTTTTGCGTGTTGTTTTGTATGCAGTCAAAAGGAGCAATGAGAATCATCAGGCTCTTTTTTGTGATGTTCACTGTTTCTATTTCAGCGACCACCGTGCCGAAACGGAGCCGCCAGGAGATTAGTCCCAAGGCCATAACTATGCGCCCCGTCGTCCGAAATAAGAGTGACCCAGCGTGCGAAAATCACAACTCACCAAGCGCGAGATGTGGGCTTTGGTCCCACCTTGAACAACTGCAGGGTGAAGCCCCTTACAATAAAGTGTTAAGTCTTCAGTCTTCTCCTTTTCGTCCCCACATGCTCCACTTGCTGTATTTATGTCCTGATATTTCGCTTTGTACTCCCTAGTTCCTTGCACTTCTGTCCTGGGCTGCATTCACCAGCGTTTACCTCAACATCAGCGCCATGTACTGGGGTATTTCGTGACAAACGTGCGTAGTACGCCCGGTTGCAACGAACGCGATTGCCGGTTCTTATACTACCGAATGCTCAAGTGATGCGGCTGTCACTTCGTGTGCTTGTTCCGATCGCGAGCGTATACGGAACGCGTGAAAAGTAACGTGTTATTTATAACATTTGACTATTTTAGCAGCGACATGTTGGTTTACGACAAGAGGAAGGAGAAACGCGTTTCAGTCACTAGTTTTCCGAGTAACTTGTGACGGGGGATCCTGGTCACATTTTTCTAAAGACGTGCACAGCACCGACTTTTGTCTTAACTCGTGTTAAGACTCTGGAGAACAACATTAATTTATGTGCCAAGTATGGTGACTTCAAAAGACGATCGGCGTAGTCGTCGACGCAGACCGGGCGGGCAAGCCTCGTGCTGGTTGTTCTTCCAGTAGGACCCAGCAGGGCCCAGAAGCAGACCATGCTCTTTTGCCTGCTTTACTGCAACAAACAGGTAAATAACCACACCAAGAGCTGGACGGCACTGCCAAGGTTCTGTGAAAAGAGCAGCTTCCATTGGCTTTGTTTCGTAGATTACTTTCTAATCTAGGAAATGATGAAAGAAACATGTTTGATTGCCGGTATGGCGCTCGATTTCCACGGAAACTAGCCGACGCTGTCGTTGCAGTGAACCCAGTCGACAGTCGTGTTTCCGGTCGAGGGTATGCTGTACAACCAACCACAATACTGAGACTTCAACATCTAATCAACGTTTTTTTTTGTTTGTTAGTAGACAATATTTCGTTTTCGTTCGTTTTTAGAGTGATTTCGAAGAGAAACGAAACAAACGCAGCAGCCCCACGACGTTTGGGACCGAAGTGTTCACCTTTGGAAAAAAATCCACTACTGCGACTTATCGATGTAGCACTCTACGAAAAGACAAAAAAACAAAAGCTGATTTATGTGAGTCGAACACTCCACTCGTGGACGGGGAGATGAAAGTGCGAAAAAGAAATGAAAGAAGATACGAGAGAAATGTGGGAGGAGAGGGAGACAGGATCAGCGGGGAAATGTCTAGGTCTTCTGAAGAGAAGCCGCACGTGTCCAAGATTGGATTAGGCCACTGAGTCGCGGCAGTCGAACCGGACAAAAGAAAAAAAAGACGGAGATAATGAAAAAAAGAGATGGAGGCGGCGAGCCATGGTGTCAGCGTTGAAGGGAATGGATTAGCCGGCATATAAGGGAGGAAAGGTCACAAATGTCGGCGAAAGGATCGCGAGCTCAAAGGCTTTTCGGTTGCTTTCTCGCGTGGATTCGCAGCCCGATCCTCTTTGCGCGCCTCGACGCTCGACCGTCGCGTCGTCGGTGTTGCCTGCGACTGCACTGAATCGCTAGACTCAGGCGGCCTGGGCCGATGACGTCATGAGAGGACTTCCGGGATAATGCGAGGCGATAACGTCAGCGAAGCGACGTCCGCGACTTGTCTGCTTTGTTATGTATTTGTGGTCGTTCAGACGGAGCGCTAATTCGGGGAGTGTCAAGTTGATAGGATTATGATTCAAGAGTGATACACGAGGGCCTTCATAGCTAATACAGGAACACCGGACCCCCATAGCAATCTACTGTGTAAAGGTTCTTCTCTTTTTTTTTTTTTTTTCTGTTTAACTTTATTTTTTTTCTTTTTTTTTTTTTTTGGTGAGGGACATGTAGAGACGCAGATTTAACGCGAAGTCTGGTTCGACCATTTGCGTTTAGGTGCGACCGACTGCGCCAAATGACTTTTTACATGCGACTGCAACGCGTTGCGCGGACATCGGTCACCATAGCTCCAGCGAAATCGACGCCGCGTAGCGGCCACGCCGAGAAGCTCAGGAGAGGAGGTCGTTTCGCCTCTGTCGTCTGGTATCGCTGTTTGGTTCTCGAAGGCAGCATAGAAACAAACGTCGTTTCCAGTAATTATATTTATGCTTCCGCCGTGTCATTCCTACGCACTGACTAGAAGAAGGTTCCTACCGACGAACAATCGCTTAGGTTTCACACGTAACACAGATTTTACGCTGCAGTGCAAGAAATGTATGGTGGTCCGCGTGCTGAACTACGAAAACGACCTCCTTTCGTCCGCCATTTTGCCTGACCAGCGCGCCCCCTATAGTTCGCTGGAGTCGCGAATAGGCGCGGCCGATTTGACGCCGGCAATAGTTCTGAGGGGTCGGCCAATCTCCCAATCTTCAAAGCCTCGCTTAAGCGTACCCATCGGACAGGTTAATATGTGTGTTAACCTAGCTGCCTTCCACACATGTTGGCCGAACTATAGCTTTCGAACAAGGTCACTCCTGAAATTAACCAGAAATTCGCTACATGTCTGCTTTGAACCTGTCTGCAAGCAGGTTTTGTATGATAAATGTGGTCATCATGCAGTATCTCTATTTTGTATGATGTATTATGTCAGACAGCAACGCTATATTGCATGATGTATTAGCAACGGGATTGCGGCTGTACTCACCAAAGGTAAAGTTTTTTTTTTTAATGCTTTTTATTACTTTGTACTTTCCAATTGAGCTTTAACACCTGCACTGAGTGCGCTTTCGTGACGTAAACAATATGGATTGAAAAACGTTTTGTGGCCAACTCTTTTCAGAGGAAATAACTCTGGCGTGAAGCGCGTAAATCGTGCAACCAAGGCCGTCTGCATATAAACGCATAAAAAAAAAAAAAAAAGCAAAAAATACAATTAGACAGTAAAAGAAGAAAACAGGACAGAAACTTTTCACGTGTGCCTCTCGGCTCTAGCGGCGCCGCAGCCATTGCGGTGGTCGAGAAGGAATGCAGATGGACGTTCTGTCAACTGCCCTGCCTCGTGTGACCTCCTTGTTTTGTCGTCATCGCCGAGGCTGCCGTTGCTGCCGCTACTGCTGCCAGCGACAACAATGGGGGACCTTCGGGGTCCGCGATTAGTCGACCTGCACCTCGGCGGGGTCCCCTTTGCAGGCTGGCGTTATTATCGTAACCTTTTTTGCTTTATTTATTTCTTTAAATGAAGGCGTTCTGGCCTTTCCCCCGCGCATGGGATCGAGTGGGCGGTTCTGCGCTGTCGAGAACGTGACGCCTGCAGGGTTATACTTTGGTCGAAACAGCTGAGCGAACGACGCGTGGACGACGATGACTTTCGAGGGCGCTTTCGACGCTCTTGGCAACAGCTGCCTACACCGTTGTTTCTGGACGACTTCTTGATGAGTTCTCGGAAGAACCACGAATATCTCTCTTGGAACGGGCGTGTGTGTTGCCATCGCCTGTCTTCTCTGGAGCGTGTACGATGCTCCGGTTTTTTTAGGACAGAGGCTCACTCTACCTGGTGTCCAAGTATCGCAAAACAAACTCAAAGCTCAATGGACTGAAAGCCACCACGACGCAGCTTTTAGGCGCATAAACTCACCGGACGTGAGCTCCTGAGATAACAGTTTGTCAAGACGGCACGTTAAACTTGTTGGTTGATCATATTCTTCTTCTCGCTCTCTTTTTTTTTTTTAGGCGTAGAACGACAGGGAAATTAGCTAATTTGGGTTAGCTGGAACATAGAATGGATATTTGCGTAGACGCTCTCTCCGTGGTGTTTTGGGTGAAGCGACATGAATGAAGACGTTCACAAATTCGTTTATAAAACCTAATCCGTATCCGACAGTTAAGAGTGATTATGATGATGGAGATATAACGTTGCGGCGTCACACGTGCACTTTTTCGAAGAAATAAACAAACACTATACCACCTTTTTTATTTTGTAATATTTCACACTCTTTTTGTGTGCAAAGCGATTCGCTCTGTTGGTATAATTTCTTTGCCAATTGTATATGTTGTATTTGTATATTTGTCATAGTGCATGTACCGGACAAATGCATATATACACGCTGATGCAAGCGCCTTGTCAGAAATAACACCTCAAAAGAAATACTTTTAGTTGTAGTATATAATTCGCGAGCTCATTCAACAAATTACACTGCAGTTCGAGAACTCGTCTTACTTGCGAAGATCAATAAAGTTCCTCTCTTCAGTCTATTCGAAGTAATAATAATAATAATAAAGAAGAAGGTTCTGAATGGTGTTGACGGGTATATAACATTATTAAAGGAAAGCGCGTAACACAGGAAAAACAAGATACAGGAGCGACAAGTGACGTTATGCTCTTTCGATGACTTCAAAAAATCGAAGGGGAGGAACGTTCGACGTGGAACACCTTTCGCTGAATTACGACACCGACGAACCGTTTCCCGCTCGAGCGGTGCATTCCTTCACACCCGCGGGGCCACCTCGGACGTTGACGGATGTGCGTGCCACATGAACGTCGTCGGACGAGAGAGAACAGCGGTAGCCATCTGATCGGCGACTTTCGTTGTAATTGGTCAAGGTGTCTGGATAGATACATTCCCGCTGCTTCGTCGAAGGTGAAAGCGCGCCCGACGCGCCCCTTATATCAGCGGCGGCGCTATCGCGATGGAGAACCCGAGGTCGCTCCCGATCGTATGCAGGGCGCTACCGCGCTACTTACTTTCCACCCCGTTTGAGCTCACGATAGACCACAGCGGACACTACAAGTCATCCCGACCAATCCTGGGCAGTCAAAGTAGCACGTGATGAGGCGCACCGCTTATCGCGGCGCCCCTTTTCGAAGGTTACGTCACACCCACACGGCATTGGAATGGCTTCGGTTGCTCGCATAATCTACCTTCTCCGCGGTGCGCCGTCGGCTGAAACGAAATATAGCGGATTAATGCACGTGCCATACCCAGCGAACGCGACGTTTGTCGAATGACTCGCTGGAAATGGTGCGCGTTAATGTGAGATACACCGATAAGGCGAGGGATATATAGGCGCGTTCGAGTAGTTTGAGCCGCCGGGCAGTGAGCAACACATTTCGAGAAAAACACCTTTTTTTTTCCTTCTTGC